CGAGGGCCTGCCAAGGGCTCAAGGGGATGAGGCCTTGCTCCCACCCCGGCCGGCCTGCTGTCCTCTCCCCTCCCTGTCCTCACGCCTCTGCTCACTCCTGCCCCACGGCCCTTGCAGGCCTGTTGCCTCTCACTGAACACTCTTCCTCAGGCTCTCAGGGCTCCGCTCAAAGGTGACCTCCTCACAGAGGCCTGCCGGCCCAGACCGGCTGAAGTTGCTGGCCCTATCTCCTCCACGGGCCAAGGCTTGTGGGGTATGGAAGTGGTCAGCTAGCCATGTGACAGCCCTGCCCAGCACACAGCAGGCGCTCAGGAGATGCGACCACACTGGCCACATAGTCACCGTATGAAAGCTATGTTTAATACTGAGTCTAATGCCTTTGATCTGAATGCTTATGTCACTTGTATCAATCACTGGGAGTTATTATTACGGGAAATTCTTACTCGAGGGCTGGGAACATAGCTTGGATTTTTAAATGAGCATTTTTGTTTTATAATGCCTTTGATCTGAATGCTTATGTCACTTGTATCAATCACTGGGAGTTATTATTACAGGAAATTCTTACTCGAGGGCTGGGAACATAGCTTGGATTTTTAAATGAGCATTTTTGTTTTAAGCCCTGGACAGTGAGTCCTCTCAACTCTTCCTCCCACACTCCCATCCCCTCTCAAAGCCATGGCCAAGGATCAGAGACCCTCTGCCATCATGTGTCCTGAACAAGCCCTGCCTCAATGTCCCCATCTGCAAAGCAGGCTCCTTGCTCAAGACTGTGCAGAGTCTGGGGTGGGAGCAGGGCCCAGGCCAGGCTGAGGGCCGGCAGGAGACAGGGACCCCAAGGGTCATGGAGTGATGGAGGGCAGTGGGCCTCTGTGCCACCTGCGGGCCTCTGTGTCACCTTGTGAGGAGGGGAGAGCCCTGTGTGGGGACAGCACGAGCACTCCTTAGACAAACTCTGAGTGCCTCCCGGCCAACCTCACGCTCCACTGGGCTCAGCCTCTCCCTCCAGCCACCCTTAAAGAGCACACGCTTGTCCCCACCTCAGGGGCTCTCACCTGCCTCACCCCTCGCCCTGCCTGGCACAGCTTCTGTTCCTGCAGGCTGCAGGCCTTAGGAGCTGCCCTCCTGGCTGGTGTCTGCAGGAGGGCCTCCCTGGGGGTCTCTCTCATATGCCCAAGGATCCTGGAACCGATCTGCCTGGACTCAAATTCCTGCTCTACCAGCAGGAAGAGAGAGAGTGAGACAGAGTGAGAGTGAGAGAGAGGAAGAGTGAAACTGAGACTGTGTGCCTCAGTTTCCCCATCAGTAAAATAGACATGCTCACAGGACCTCCCTCAGAGGGTAATTGTGAGGCGTAAAAGTAATACAGACGCAGGTGCTTAAAGCAGATTGTGGCGCGTCAATAGCGCATGACTAGGCTGATCTGACTTTCACTCTCTCTAGCCCAGCACTCACAGCATTCTTTCTTTTTGCGATGTTAGTTGCAGTCCCCGTCGGTCATAAGCCCCTGCGTCCCAGCACCCGCCCAGCCCAGGCCATCAGTGACCTCCCGCAATTGTCTACCTTGTTCCCGGCCCTGCCCTGCCCCCTTGTGGTGGTTATGAGTATTGCCCCCAGGCTCGGGAGTTGGACCCTTTCTGCCATTGCAGGCCCAGGCACTGGCTCTGGGTCACCAGCTGGGGGCCCGAGGACCTGGGCACCTAGACAGGCAGGACCATGCAGAACAGACTGAGCTGCCGGCGTGGCTGAGCTCCCCGCCAGGCATGGAGATGATAGGCACATGGCAGGGGATGGGCTGCGGGAGGCCCTCCATCGGCTTGCAAACTGCAGGGGCCCCCCAGGGCCTGCCAAATCCCACACCCCCTGCCCCAACATGGGTCCTGCCCTAGGCCAGCTCGCTCTTCTCGATCCAGCTCATGGGGGCCAGTCTGACCACTCAGGGTCTGGCTGCTACCCGAGCTTCTGCTCATGTTACTGAAAACGTCTCTATCTCCCTGGGGTCAGCTCCGAGCAGCCTCTCAAACCTGCCCTTCACACCTGGCGCCTGACTTACCCACACCGTGTCCTGCACCTTGTGGGCTCCTTGGCAATGGGCTGACAACAACCCAGGATGGCGTGGCCTCAGCGAAGGCTGGGGAAAGCTCTCCACGCAGTGCCAGGCACGCAGTAGGCACTCAGGAAATGACTGTGGAATACAGCCGAACTTTGGAAAGCTGGTTAAGGGGCAATTTGTTTATTCACATCATGACCATGGCACAGGGTGCTGGCCCCATTCAGGCAGAGCTAGGAGGTGCTTCAGGAACCAACAGACCCAAACCTCAGAGGCTTAACACACAAAGTTAATTGCCCTCAGTGCTCTCCAGGGCGGTTGTCTTCTGAGTGGCACCTTGAGGACCCAGCCACTGCATCCTGTGGCCCCCCAACTGCCCCAGATGCTTCACCCTCACAGCCTGATGGGCGGAACCACGGCTAGCCACCTGCCATGAAGGGGCTGAGAAATGAAGGATGTTTCCAGATCCCAGTGTCTCACAGGTATTATGTGTTGGGACACCTGGGGACAGACAGGACAGGACTCAGGGAGGGGATGGAGGGTCTCAGTTATCTGAGTCCTCAGACCCTCGCATCCCGTGGCTGTCAACGTCTGTGGATCTGCCATGTGGGAAGCTGAAGTTCCGGGTGTGGGTCCTCTGGCCTCAAGTTGCTGCTGGAGGCCCCCTTCCTGGCCTGCGTGTATCATGGGATCTAAGACACCTGATGAAAGCAAAAGAGAGGACCCCAGAGGATGAGGAAAGGGGCTCCTTGCTGCAGCTCATGGAAGCAGATGGAGGCACAGATGAAGGGAGGGTCCTGGCTGACTGGGCCAGGCTGTCTGTAAGAATAGGCTGCACTACCCCTGTGGGGACCTCCATGGTGGGCTCGCCAGGACCTCCAGAGTTGGCCCTCCCTAGCCTGCCCTCAGAGGGAGGCGGCCCAGCTGTTAGTGTGGACCTCATCCTCCCAACTTCACTGTCAGCGGCTGTCGGCACCGAGGTGGGGCGAAGTGTCAGACCCAGGAGGGCCACGCAACCCAAGGCTGGCAGGAGTGCAGTGCAGGACAGAGCAGCGCCTGGGAGATGCTGGGTTACCTCAGGAAGCCCCTCCCGGGCCCAGGGCCCCCAGCTCCCCAACAATCCTGACAGTGATGCTGGGTGGGGTGGACCCAACTAGCACCCAGACAGCTCAGCAGTGAGGATACAGGGCTCAAGAGCCCAGCCAGTCTAAGCACGGTGAGGCGGTCCAGAGCCTGGGCCTGGAGGGGGCTGCACAGGACAGCCTCCCGGTTGCTATGGGTCTGAGGGTGTGAGCAATCCCAGGGGATCCACAAGGCAGGGACAAGCGAGCTGGCAGGCAAGTGTGACTGCTAGGCCTGGGGGTGGGCAGAGGCCACGCAGCTCTTGTTTGAGTCCAATGATATCCAAGATGCCCTGCAGCCTGGGCAGCCCCAGCATGGGCCAGGGCACAACCTGGTGGCAGCACCAGGACCCCCACCCCACTCTGCAGCCCCAAGGCCCTGCAGGGGAGCCTCTTGGGGCTCAGCCAAGGTGTGAGGTTGGGGTGTCTCCCCTGAACATCCAGCTGGGACTGGAGAAACCCAAGATCAGAGAGAAGGGACTTGCCCAAGGTGATGCCATGCATTAGTCTTCTGTCCTGCATGACAAATGGCACATAATGAATCACCACAATCATACTGGCTGAAAACAACAGCTACTGGTATCCCACAGTTGTGTGGTCAGAAGTCGGCGCTGTGGGCTCTCTGCTCGGGGTCTCCCTCAAGAGAATCTACATACAGGCTTGCTCAAGGTGCTGACAAGTGGGTGCAATCATGGCTCAGCTACCTGCAAACTATGTAACCTTGGGCGGCCTCGGCCAACCTTCCCAGTCTCCAGCTCCTTATCTGGGAATTGCAGCCCTCCCTATGCCCAGCTCCCATCACAGGGTGAGACCCCACGTGCCTGCAGGGCTGGGACCTGCACTTACACGTGCCCATGCTACCTGCATGGCCCACGGTTATTCTTATGGCTGTTTCATCCATCATCCACCATTGCCATCACCCCCACCTGTATCCTTGCAGCCCTGACTGTCACACACCATGAATAGTCACCCCGTCCCCACGTCCAGCACCCCTCCCTCTCCTTGTATCATTGTAGTACACCTGCCGGGGTGGGGACTGTTCCATTTGCTTGTTGTGAATAACTCGAGATTTAGGCTAGAACCCTGCACACGTCTGAGTGCCTCTGGGGGTCCAGCAGGTGCTGGCACATGTGCGCACTCAACTAAGCCACACACCTGTGAGTGTGTAAGAAATCCCTAGAGGCCTCCGGAGGGCACCCTTGGGCTGGGGACAGCAGAGCCAGGGTCTCAAGGGCTGTCTCTCCTATGGCCCCTGAGGATCTGCTCCGCCTGCTCCTGCCGGCCGGCTTAAACCACTGCAGGTGTGAGGTGCAACCCCAGGCTTCCCATGGGGAGCACTGGCGGCCTGAACCTGGCCCTCCCCACAGCCAGGAGCCTGCGCCGCCCCCACTGCCGGGGTGGACGGCAGCGACAGCTGTGAACGAGGCAGAAATGACACAGACATAGTTCTGTACAAAACCTGAAATATTTTTACTTTTTTAAAACTTTGGTCTAAGTTACCTTAGACCTCATGGACTCGATACAAGAGTAATATGAATTGGGAAATAAAACACTTTAATAGCCACAATAAACTTTGTTAGAAATGTACATGTTGCCAAAATAATAATAATAAAATTAAAAAAAAAAAAAGAGAGAGAGAGAACAGCTTGATGCCCAGGTTAGATTATATAAATGTTCAACAAGGACAGGGTAAAGGAAACTTTAAAAACACGGGTTCTGAATAAGCCTGGGGCCCCGCGAGACTCCCGCCTCCCAGCCTCGGGCCCTGGGGACTGTGTCCCTCCCAACAGGACAAGTGGGAGTGGATAAGGCCTCGGCGAAGCTGCCTCTCCTCATGGACGAAACATCCAGGTAATGGGGATATAAACAAAGCTCATAAGAAATGTACAAATATAAAAAGCTACAAACATTAATAAATTACAGCATCACAAAACACGGAAACACTTCACAAGGTGCTAGTAAAATAACTGTATCCCCCGATCCCTCATCTTCCAAGAAGGAAACAAAGAGCTGGTATTAAAGGTGAAGATTCATCTTCAAAATGTGTCTGAAATAGATCCTTTGAGTACTGTTTGCTTCTGTAAAGACAGAGTATAAGGCTGCACAGACATCACTTGTTTTTCAGGCAATACCTTAGTTTCTAAAATAAAAATAACAACAATAATAATAATAATAAAAGGAAAGAAGGAAAAGGAAAAAGGATCAGAACCCAACTGTCCATCATACTCAGCAAAAAACTCGTATAAATGTTAATGAAGGACTCTATAGAAAGAAATTCCTAAAGATACTTTTACTCTTATAAAAAAGAAGTTATTTAAAAAGCTATTTACACGCTACATTCTATGAAAAATATGCTTCAGGAAATACATCTAAAATTAAAATACAGAATTGCCTGAGAAACAAATCCAGCCCCTCCACGTCGATGGGTGGACACACCGTCCAGGTACAACCCATGCTCGGGACACCACACGCTGACACGGGAGAACAGAGAAGCGCCATCCACACGTGCTCGACTGCCCGGCCACTGTCCCTGCCCCACCAGTCCCAGGGCAGGGGTGACTTGGCTGCGAAGTGCTTCTCCAGAGTGTAGCCAGCAGGCTAGACGGGGCTCCCCCACGTGGCTTAGCCTGGGTCCCCTGGACCCTAAGACGTGGCTGAGCCCTTGCTCTTCCTTGGGAACCCTACAATGGCTCCCCCACCTGCTAACACACTAACCCGGCTGTCGGTCCTAGTGCACCCAAGAAATGCCTATGGGCATTCAGGGTGAGACACCCTCTACCACCCCACCTGCCACCTGCCAGCCGGGGATCCTAGGGCTGCCTTCCCTCCTCGGTGGCTGAGTGCTCTCTGCAGTTGTCTGAGAATCACTCAGGAAGAGAAGGGGGGCACGTAAACATCCCGCTTGCTCCTCCTTTCTCTCTGTGTTCTTTGCCTTTTTTTAAGCCTCTGGAGGCTACCAGCCTGTGGCCAGCTCAGACTCTTGGGCTGTGAGCGTTGGCTCACTCTGCCTTCCTCGAAGGACTCACGCTGCCAGCAGAGCTGCAGAGGCCCTGCAATCACACCCACACTCAGGGGTGCCTGGAGGCTGTCCTGAAACTGGAATGGTCCTCAAACTGGCAGGGCTGCTTTTCGAGAACTGGTCACTCTAAGTAACTTGAGAAAGGACGTCCATGTTCAAAACGAGGGACGGCCGCACTCAGCTTGCTCTGCCCGCTGAAGGGACAGACGCTCATTTGGGGGGAGTGGTGGCTGGGAGGAGGCGAGGCCCTCCCTAGGTGAGGCAGCTCGGCCACCCTCCTGGGGGGCTGATGTTTTAGTGGGGCTCCGGGGGGTCCTGAGTGGAGCAGAAGGGTCCTGGCTTTCCAAACTTTAAAGGAGCAGTTTTCCGTTCCGATGAATTTTCAAAATTTTCCCCAGCCTCTGCTTGGCGGTGGCCATGCCCTTTTTTGTACGTTTTCCTAAGGGGGTGGGGAAAGGGACACAAAAAAGGAAGATGAGGGAGTGAAAAGAGGAGCAGCCTGCAGGGTTGGGGGAGTCCCACTGACACTGACGGGGCAGCCAGCCATGCCCCACGAGCCCCCACCCCGCTCTGTGAGATGGGCCTGTGCAGCCTGAGCTCTGGGCTCAGCACCCCTCACAAACCCCGTATTGTCTACAAAGCATCCAGCTCAGAGGCTGCTTCCACAAGGGGCCATGGTGGGTGTTCACACATGGTCTTGGGGGGACGGCATTACTAAGAACTGAGGCCTCCCCAGGCCCCACCTCCTGGCAACAAGGCCATTTCCCGCCATTGCCAGCAACCATACCCCAACACCCCAACACCATCTCTACGGCCGCTGGGGCCACAGCCAGGGTGCGGGCAGACCGAGGACTAGGGGACAGCATCAGGGGGGCTGGGGATGAAGACACTGGGGAGGCTGTGGGACCAGCCAGCCACCCCGCAGTCAGCCTGGCTTGCCTTCGGTGCCTCCCAGCCCACAACACAGAGTTAACTGTGCCCCAACTCCACATCCAGCCCCAAAGCTGAGGACAGGGACCTAAAGCTACAGTAAACAGAGACTCCCCTTCTGGCCCCAAGCCTGATGTGTAACCCCATTTCTGAAGCTACCCGTTGACAGAGCACATCCACCAAGCTGGTCAGCTGCAAATGCTTGTGCCCTGTGCCACAGGACACACTGATGCTAAGACGAGAACTTGGGCCGCAGTGTTCTGCTGTCCTGGGGTCCAGAACCTCCCCGGCAACATGCTGTCCTCTACCACAGCAGAGTCTAGGGCTGCCCAGGGCCCTGGCAGGGGCAAGGAAGGGCAGAGGCCCCGAGGGCTCCCTCCGGAAGGCACGGTACCTTTGGCAGCAGTGTTGTTGTTGGGAGACGATGCCGAGGGCCGCCTCTGGGAGAGGAAGACCCCGGGGGCCATGGGCTGCGAGGTGCGGCCGGCCTGGGCCCCAGTGAAGGCACCGGCTGCTGTGTATTCGTGGTCGGCCAGGCTGCTGCTGTGCGACTCGGGCGGGGGCTCAGGCGAGCTGCCCTCCTGCGAGGCCTGGCTGCTGGCCGTGCTGGTGGAGGCCGGGGTGGTGGAGGCCGGCGTGGCAGAGGCTGAGGTGGTGGAGGCCGAGGCGGAGGCGGAGGCTGAGGGGGAGGTGGTGTTAGGAGTCAGCTTCCTCTTGGCGCACTTTTTCTTCCTGCTCTTCTGCTCCTCCTTTGAACAAAGCACGCGGGCACATAAACCACAGCGTGGGTCAGACGCATGGGCCATCACAGCAGGGCCAGCCTGCACAGCCTTGGCCCGGGTGAAGGCCCTGGGGTAGGCCAGTGCCCATGGGTGAGCTCAGACTCATGCTAAGCAGGAGCAACTGACGCCTGGGCCCAGGAGGTCTCTCCTATACAACTGGGGGAGCTTCAAGTCCTGGGGGCCTACCTGAGCCCCACATCCAGCCACTACGAGGCCCCCCAGAACGGTGCTGAAGCCTGGGGAGGGGCCACTGTGCTCCCCTCTCTGGACGGTGGGCACTCAAACACAACCGTGTGGGCAGCAGGGGATCAAGGCCTGAACCTGAGCTGCCCTGGGACCTGGGGACGCACCAGGACATGACTCCAGCACTGGGCAGCAGTGGCCCAGCCTCCCATTCAGTCTGTGTTCACATAGCCGCTGTACAGGACGGGTCCCCCCCGCCAGTCACCCACTCTGCACTGCCACAGGTCTCTCAATTCGGAAGGAATATTCACTTTGAGCCTATTAAGTAACTTTCTTGGGTGCCCAAAAGGAGTCAGGCCTGGTGTGGGGGCACCTGAGGCTTCAGGACTCTCCCTTTCTGGGCTGGGCAGAGATGAAGGTGGCAAATGAGATTGGAAGAAAAGAGCAGGTAGAGACGGACCCTGGCTCACAGCTGTGGGAACTACTTGTAAATGCCGACATCCCCCGGGGAAGGGTGCGGCCCTCCTAGAGGGGCTGTCGGCCGACGGGCTGCAACCAGCCCTGCACCGGAGCACAGCTCAGCCTCAGCAAGAACACAACTGTCCAGTGTCAGGGACCCAGGCTGTCAACTCCCAGCTACCCTGCACCCACTCAGGGAATTTGGGGCCTGGAGGCGTGCGGCACTCTACAGTCAAATGTCCCTAAGCCTGTGACAGCACCCAGCCCAGTTAGGCTATGCATGGGGGTGGAGGGACAGAGGCATCTAGGGGAGCTTGAGCCCAGGTCGGGGAAAAGGGGCCCTGGCTGCAGTGTGTCTCCCCATCCCCCCACCCTTCCTCACCTGCTGGGACAGCTTGGCTGCAGCGGCTGCCAGCCCAGTCTCAATGGAGGCCACTCTGGTCCCCTCACGCACGGGCCTGTCCTGTCTCGGCACTGACGGGCCAACCCTCGCTGTAGAAGAGAAGTGCCAGCCCCCTCGAGCTGCCAGTTGTGCTTGTCCACCCCTCCTAGTTGGGGGCTCCCTGGCCCCTACCACGGCCTGTCCCCATGGCCAAGTGGACCCCAAGCACCAGGCTCCCTCGATGTGAAGCCACAACAGGGGAAGGGGCAGGGGCAGATGCCCCACCAACCAAGGGGTCCATGGGACAGAGCCCAGGAGGCCCAGCAAGATGGGAGAGGGTGGGGGGGGATCATGGAAGGTAGACAAGGCCCCCACCCCACCAGCTGCCGGGCAGGCATCCCTTGGCCACCATGAAGGTGACCTTCCCTCCACCAGGTACAAAGGTGACCCCCACAGAACTATTCATTGAGGAGGAAACCGAAGAGGAGGGGCCAGCCCACAGGGGTGAAGCTTTCAAGTGAGGGCTGCATAGAAGCACGTCTGGGCAAGAAGAATCCCGATCATGCTCCCGCAGGCCGCTGACTGTCCCAGCCCAGTCATCAGGACAGGTCAGGCACAGAGATGAGCCCACATTCTCCGGGGCCAGGGGTATAGGCAGATGAGGTCATGGCAGTCCACGGTAGTGTCGGGTGGACTCCCAGCCCCCAGCACTACCTGTTGGGCTGTAGGGAGCGTCATCCGAGCCTTTCCTCTTCTTTGACCGGGACTTGAAGACAGGATTGTCTTCGTCGGACTCCAGTGAGGGGTAAACTAAGGGGAGGCAGAGGAGAGACAGGGCCGCTGAGCTGCTGGCCACGGCCATGGGAGGGAGCAGCAGGTGGCTGGAAGACCCTCTTGACTGGTGACCCCAGGGCTTGTTCTAAGGCCTGCCAGGTGGCTGTGCCTCCATTGGCTGCAACAGAAGATGCCTGCAGTGTGGACGCCCCAAGCATGGGTACAGCAGCCTCAGGAATTGTCCGGAGAGGCAAGGACTCCCCATATAAGAGGCACCTGTATATGCCTGGGCAGCCTGGTCTGCCCCAGCTTGGCCCTGGTGCCCATAAGCCCCTTGCCTCTCTCGCCATCTGTACAGTGTTCACAGAGCCTGAAACCCATGGAGGCCCCATCTCGGGGGCAGCTGCAGCGGAGAGTGGGGAGACCAGGAAGGGATGGGGCCCCCCAGTCAAACCGGGGCATCTCAGCTCCCGTTGGAGAAACACTCTGAGGCTCCAGGAAAGGTTTTGTTGGGTGAAAAGTCTTTGCTGCTATCAAAGAAGAAACCTTTAACATCCATGGAGCTGTGTGGGCTCTGAAGGGCCCCCAGACCTGTCCAGTGAGTCCTGGAGGAGGCGGCCCAACCCATGATCCTGGAGGAGGCAGGCAGAGGCTTGGAGCGCCACCCTCCCAGGAAACAGGAGTTCACTCTGCTGTCGGTCTGTTTGTCAAACCAGGGCAGGCCCCACTGCGAAGCCCAAATCTGTCCACCAGATGTGGGGCAGGGCCAGCCTCACTCACAGGAGGACTCCCTGGGGGGTTGGTGGCACAAACACACAGCTTTCCAAGTCCAGTGGCCTCAGCTCGGCCTCTGACAATCGGAATGGGTGTTGAAGGCAGGCTCTCCACTGTGTGAGCTGCCACAGGCCTGGCCCTGGGAATAGTGTACCTGCGCCGGCTCCACCAGGTGTGGGGACCTGGACATTCCCCAAATTGTGGAGGTCGAGGCATGGAGGCAGGTCTTCAGAGCCTGGCCTGAGCCAGGCTGGTCAGCTCTGGTGGAAGGAGAGGGCTGCCCCAGGGCAGGAGGCCAGAGCCATGCTGGTGCCTAGCTCACTGCCTGACCTCAGGAGCTGGCCACAGAGCCACTCTGGGCCTCCGTTCTCTCCTTTACACAGAGATAGACAGGGAGGACATGATGGTCTCAAAGTCCTGTGAATGCAAAATGCCTCAGCCACATGGAAATCCATTGGGCATCCTCAGAAGGCAAAATATACAGAAACCTATGACCCAGCAATGCCCCACTAGGAATACAACCAAGGGCGACAGAAGCTCAGGTCCGCACAGAAACCTGTGCACGAAGCTCCACAGCCAGTCACAGCAGCCAAAGGTGGAAACAACCAGAAAGTCCATCTGTGGGTGGACGGACACACAGATGTGGTCCACCCATACAATGGAATACTACACAGCCTTAAAGAGGGAGAAAATTCTGACACATGCTACAACACGGAAGGACACTGAGAACATTATGCCAAGTGAAACGAGCCAGTAACAACAGGACAGATACTGTGTGATTCCGCCTACATGAGGGACTCAGAGCAGTCAAATCCATAGAGACAGAAAGTAGAACGGTGGCTGCCAGGGACCAGGGGGGCGGGGGGGGCTACTAATGGGGACGAGGCTTCCTTCTTGGGGGACAAAATGTTCTAAAACAGACTTACAGGCTACACACACCTCTGAGTATACTAAAGACCTCTGAATCGCACACTTTTAAAGGGTGGGTTTTATGGTCTGTGAATTATACCTCAAAATAAAAAGGGGCCTGGCTCCGCAGGACCCTGGGGTGAGCTCCCAACTGGCACAGCACCTGTCCTCAGAGAGGTCTTTCCAGTGGTGGGCACAACCCACCGCTCAGCAGTGACACTCACCATAGTCCGAGTCCTTGAAGCAGGCGTCCAGGTGGTCCTGCTCCTCCTCGTAGTCATCCAGGTCCACGCTGTTCTTGGCGGCCCTCTTCAGCAGTCGCTTGCCTGTGCTCTTGCTGCCACCACCCCTGCTCTTCCGGGCACCGTGGGCCGCCAGTGAGCCACCCTTGGCCTGGCCAGCACCCCATGTGGTCTGCAGGCAGGGCTCGGAGGCCTGCAGGTTGGCCATGGACAGCATTCCCTGAATGGCTTCCTGCGTGCTGGGGGAGGCTGGGGGCTGGCTGGGGGCACAGAGAAACAGGCACTCAGCCCACGGCCCACGGCCCACAGCCCAGGGCACGCGGGCCATGGCATTCAGCCCATGGCCTGTGGCCTGAACAAAGTCCTGGCCTGGGCAGGCAGCACAGAGCGTGGAGTGGAGAGGATGGCTGTGGGCTGACGACTTCCCCATGGAAAAGGCCAGCGGACCCCCTCTGCTCATCTGCCCGCATTCTACAGGGAGGGCTGGAGGCCTTGGGACAGAGATGGGGCATGGAGAGGAGACACATGGGAGGACGGCACATGGGAGGGAAGGTCCAGGTCCACGCATGATCACGCACTGGCCTCTCCCGCCTTAAAGCTGGCAAGCAGACTCAGCCACCTCCCTTCTTCACTCCAGCTGCTTCTGTGCACTCTTCAGTGCACCCTGCGCCTCCTTCCCTGACACAGACCCCTGACCCCTGCCCCAGCCCAGAGCATTCCGTCCCCTCATCTTCCAGGGCACTTTCCCATCTGCCAATCTGAGATGGGCAGTACAGCGCTCTCCTTCCCATGGCACACACTCGCCCCAGGTGACCCACAACTTCTTTCCACACCCACACCTTCACCCGCGCCCACACCCACACCAGCATCTATATCTGTACCCCCACCAGCACACACACACCTGCATCAACTCCTGCACCCGTACCCACACCAGCATCAACATCTGCATCCACACCTGCACACACCTGCACCTGCACCCACACCAGCATCAACATCTGCATCCACACCTGCACACACCTGCACCTGCACCCACACCAGCATCAACATCTGCATCCACACCTGCACACACCTGCACCTG